TATATATATATATATAGAAAAGGGATACCTCTCTTCATCTAAGTTTGGGTACATAGGTGGACTTTATGGTACATGAAATATATCTCAACAAAGTTGTTTTTAAAATAAGAAGGAAAAGAAACCTATGTCCTAATTCAAAATTTCAGTTATTTTCTTCATATTTACCATAATTATCACTCATGTTATTATTTACATAGCTTTTTCCTTTAAATTGACCTAAAGTTTGTAACACTATCAGTTAATAAAAAATATATATAAATATGGCAAAATACTGACAGTGGTACTCAAATAAATGAAATTTAAGAAACTTGGTTGAAGCAAAACAATTGCCAAGCAGAGAAATGGAGCAGAAAAAAAAATTAAAACAAATCAGTGAGCAGACATGATTACTAAGAATCACTGGGCAAAAGGTTTCTGATGAACTGCCAGGGATGAACTAAAATCTCACTGTTCTTATCTTGCCCTTTTTAGTACAAAGAATGTCTGTGGAGATAACTGAAAGTCCTAGAGATAAAAATGTGAAAATGGGCTTGAGTGCCAGGAAAAGCACACCTCTCTTCATCTGAGTTTGGGTACACAGGTTGTAAAAGGACAAGGCATAAATGGCAAACCCAAAGTAGTAAGAAAATCACCGGCAGCATTACTTTTAAAAAATAGAGGCCCATCACCAGCTGAAGCTAGAACAGCATATCTATGAATTGTTTCAATAATACCTGACAAAAAGTTTAAAAAAAAAAAAAGGTCTTTAATCAGAGTTCTCCTTCAATGTTCACAAAATCTATCACTTACTTTTCTGACCCTTAAGAAAACCTATTTGCCTTTCTGAGTCTGGTACTTCAACAATTATACTCAAAAACTATGAATAATTTTTGCTTTTCCATGTTTTGCTTATTAGGGTAAAAATGAATATTTTGAAGAGTAATATGGACATTTCATAACTCCTTGTTATTAATGAGGTTTGCAATTACTTCTATATATACTGCCATTGATATCAACCAAGAGGTATTTAATTTCTCCCATAATAGTAACATGCTCCAGGGCTGGGGATAGAGCTTGGTGGTAGAACACTTGCCTGACATGGGTGAGGCACTGGGTTTGATCCTCAGCACCATATAAAAATAAATAAATTCTGTCCATCTAACATTTACAACTAAAAAAACAATTTTTTAAAGTGGCATGCCCCATTGAAAATACAAAAACTCTTTTTCCTATTCTGAATCAAAAGCAGATCTAACATATTGCAGTCTTTACAAGTGAAATATGAAGTCTGAGATTTACTTTAAAACAATTTGGCAGCAAGCAGATTTTAGAAGACAAGATTGTCCACAGGCAAGTAACTGCTCAAACAGATTAGCCAAAGCAGCTCATTATTCTACTGTTTTTTCATGTTTTCAAAATACATATAATAAACTGTGCCTTAGGAAAAAATCATTAAAATGTAGCAACTATTTAGCAAAACTTCAAGATAACTTTAGTGTTTGTCATAGAGAACATTTTTTTCTAATACGTTCTTAAGACTGGCACCACTACTGGACTATTAAGTCTTTTCACTGTTTATATTCCACAAGACCTATTATCAACCAATGAAAACCAAAAATGGCTATGAACAATATTACCATCCAGCAGAAAACACCAAACAGAATTTTGTTATTTATTTTAATTATTGTTGTACAAGCCATCTTTAGTTTTCACATCTAAAATTTCAAAAATGGCAATTCCACAATGGGTATCAGATTGCACCACTGGAGAGAAGTCTGTTAAACTTCCCAATTACGCCAGGTTAARTGTTTAAAGAATGTTCACATGTAATTCCCAAAGGATTTTTGCTTCGCCTTTAAAGCCAGGTTGGCTTGTTGTCAGGTATGAAAGTGAAAAAAGAATTTTAAGTCCCTTCATCTTACTGATCTTTAAAAMATTGCTGAGTTAAATGGGGCATAAACAAAATCTTACTATCTAATCAATCTTTTGGTATTTCTTAAATATCTATGAAACACAAAGGAAATACATTTTTAAAATCTGTCTAAAACACTATCGCTGGGATCTCAATCATCAAAATTACTTATTTATAAGCACATTTGTAGGGAAACCCTGATTATGATCCCATGGTTGTTGAACAAACGGGCAAGTGTTTAACAATACTACTATGGTCTCAATCTTTATGTCCCCTCAAAACATATATGTTGAAATTCTAGCTCCAAGGTATGAGTTTATTTTGTTGTCATCGGTCTGTTTGTTTTTCAGCACTGGGGAATGAACCTAGGGGCACTTTATCACTGAGCTATATTCCCAGTACTTTTTGAGACAGTCATATTAAGCTGCTGAGGCCAGCCTGGAACTTGTGATCCTCCTGCGATGTCCCAACAGCCCGCAGTGATGGTATCTGGAAGTGAGAAGTTTGGGAAGTAATTAAGTCAAGAGGGTAGTCCCCTCAAGAATGGAATAAATGCCCCTGTAGAGGCAGAAGGGAGACAGGTAGACGGTGTCATCTATGAACCAAAAAGCAGGCTATCATCAAACATGTAATTTGCAGGCATCCTGATCTTGGACTTTCCAATTTTTAAAAAGGCAGCTCAAGGGAATAGGGAAAAAGGCAAAGAGCAAGCATTTACTAAGGGCTTATCAAGAAGCAGTTCTAAATACTTTACAGAGAACTCGTTTATTGCTATTAACAAATTTATGAGGTGGACATTATCCATTTTACAGATGAGAAAACCAAGGCTCTGAAAAATTAATCTGCCAAAAGTCGAGTGGTACAACTGGCATTGAAACTAAGATCGGTCTGCCTTCAAAGCCACCATATCATAGTTCCTCCCACAAAGGTAACTTTCCGAATCACCCTTGTCTAGCATGTCTGAGTTCCAGGGTTTGATCCAAAATAAAAATTTTTTAACTCTTGAATTATTTAAAAATATTAATTCTTTAGATAATAGTTTTCAAATTATTTCAATATTTGTTATAAATCAATCTGCACTCAACAGTTTGAGGAATAGTCATTGTGAACAGAAAATTCAGAGACAAAGCACCAGAATGAGATACTGGTTAGATTATCAACCTTAGTTTAGAAAGCTTAACGCCAGATCTCACTACCAGGTGATCTAGAGCAAGTAATAATCTCTTTGAGCCCCAGTTTCCCCATTCATAAAATGTGCACAGCACCTATCCCATCCTGAGACCTCAAATTTTTGTTTATGTGAACGAAATCGACTTGTAAACTAAATTACAATACAAATAAGGAATTAGATCTATCCAGTAAGATGACTATAATGAATAGCTATTTTCATCAACAATAACTTGGCACAAAGGAGAAAGATAATCCACTAGCAACAGGAAAYTGCTTTCAGGCAGGCGGAGCCCAGCCTCAGCGGGTGCCGCTTGACAGCAGCAGGTGCTGCTTGAAGGAGTGATTTTCTGCCTGCTTTCTAACAATTCCTTCGCTCACAGGAGCCTGTTCCTAGTCTACCCAGGTTCCTAAGCGCGACTGGAAATCCAGGTGGGGAGGAAGGCGCAAATGAAGATTTGGGGAAAGGGCAGAGGCAGGAGGCTGGGTCCTACCACTCCCAGGTGCGAGGCCTTGGTTAAACTCTTCAGGCCTAATGTAAGCATTTGTAAGATGGAGAGACCATTCCCGCCTGCACCCCTGCAGAGCTAAGACCAGCGGAGCAGGGAAAGCAAGGTAAACCCGGCTGACAATGAGATGATGTTAGCGATCATCTGTCAAAGGAGGGCAGAGAAAGGATGCTCCTCCACAGGCCCCTCGCAATTCGGGCTTTCCAGAAGGCTCGACACGCGCTACCACAGCGACCCCCGTGAGGCAGCCTCCCACGCAGCCCTCCACCCGCGTGGTGCTCAGTCCCAGGTCCCCGGCCGGAGCCGCCCAGCGGGCTCAGACCCGGCCCACCCGCCCCCAGGCCTCCTCAGCGGACCCTAGGGCGCTCCCAAGAGGCCACGGCTCCCCTCCCCCCGCAACGCTCCCGGCCCGCTCCGCCAGCACGCCCAGGTGAGCGGAGGCGGTGAAAGGGTGTACCCCGCCGCCATTTTGTCCCCTTGGTCCCCGCAACGCGTCCAGCTGGCCCGAGCCCCCGCCGGGGCCCGCCCGGGTCTGCGAGACGCGCGCCCCTCGCGGACACTCACCCCAGGCCGCCCTGCGCAGTTCGGGGCGGCTCCGAGCGTCCCGCCGAGAAAGGGGCGGGGTGGGGCGGGGCGGGGAGGCCTTGAAGGGGCGGGGCGGCTGGCCGTCGCAGCACGTGACTCCAGCCGCAGCCTCGCCTCTCCCTGCTCGGTGCTCGGCCGGCGCGCAGGCGCAGCCCTGTTCGCGCGTTTGGGGCTCCGTGGCGGTAGTGAGGGGTGTGGATGTGGCTGGCGGCCCCCGCCCGGTTGCTTCCCCAAAGCAGCTCCCTTCTCTAGATTGCGCTTCCGTCTCTGCTTTTGGCCACACAACCTCCTTTCTCGGATTCAGTCCCCTCCCTCCGCCTGCTTTATCACCGCAGTTCACAGATTAAGGACCTAGAAATCCGCCTCACAAAAATCTGTACAAGTGAAAGTGCTTCACAAAAGCACACGGGACTACGCGAGCACGGTTTAGCCCCCAGCGCAAAGCTCTATTCGGACCCTCCGAGTGCCAGGCGTGGAAGGCTGCAAGTACCGAAAATCTAACAAGATATGTCTAATCTGCTTCGGAGAGTGCATAACGCGAATGAATAACATATTTAACCATATTTAAACCACAGTTCTGGAGTTCATAGAAAAGAGATTGCGCAAATTACCAATCGAGTGTTTCCCACCACTTTCATCCAGTTGACCCACAAGCTCTATCCTTCGCTCGCCCTGTTTTCCCGCAGCAGCGGGATGCCCTAGTGTCTGGCAGTTAGTGTAGAAGCGCTGTGGAGGCAAAGGACATGTTGGTGGCAATGTGTGTCCCTCCTCTTGTCTTCTTAAAAACTCATTCAGTTATTCAACAAATGTTTATAGGGCACTACTATAAGTCAGATGTTACTCTAGGTGCTTAGAATTAATTTTTTTTTTAAAGACCCCGGGGGCGGGGGGAATCTGGCTTTTTGGAGCAGGGTAAAAACAATAAATGTAAACATAATAAATTATACGATAAAGTGGTAAGCACTAAGGTAAACAAAATAAGTAGATTAAGGGGGTGGAGTAGAGAACATACTACAACTTCATAAAAGGTGGTCAGGGGCTTACTCATCAATATTCCTTTCCCCTCTCATTCCCATAAGCATTTAAACAACCTCAAGGCTGTCATGCTAAAATCTCCCACCCAAGCCAGACTCCACTTCCACCTCTCCTTCCTTCTCCTTTGTGACCTGTCTTTTGCCAATATCTCCAATTCCTCAATTACTACTCAAGTCTGGACTTACTGCACTTTCATTAATGCCCCCACCACCTCCTGGAAATCATTTTTTCCCCCAAAGTCACTAGTATTTCCCCACTGTAGTGTAGATGCTGTGGATGTTATCGTCACAACCAGTCATAGTTTGGATTTTCAATATCCTCCCTAAGACTCCTATGTTGAAGCTTTGGTCCTCAACCAGGCCTATTGAGAGGTGGTGGAACCTTTAGGAGGTAAGACCTAGTTGGAAGGAAGTCAGGTCATTGAAAACATGCTCCTGAAGAGGATTTGGGGAACCCCAGCCCCTCAGTTTCTCTTACTTGTTGCTTCCCAGTCTCCATGAGGCAACAGCTTTCTTCCTCAACTGTACACTCTCAGCATGATGTATTGCTTCACCATAGGCAACAGCACCAAGCAGCTATGAACTGCAACTATGAGCCAAAATAAACTTTTCCACCTTATAAGTTGGTTATCTCAGGTATTCTGGCACAGCGACAGAAAACTAATGCGACAGAAAACTAATGCAGAACCTAACACTTTCTCTGCATGATAGTCCTCTCTGCAGGAAACTCTTTCCTTATCTTTCATTTTTACTCTCTCAATCTCACTTATCCATTCCTGCTCCATCTCTGTTGAAATCTCCCTATATTTCTCCCATCCTTTAAATGTTAGCATCCCTCAGGGATAGATGTAAAATCTCTCCCACTGGACACTCTCTTTATACATGATCACTGCCTTTTACACAAGTCTGTTAGTATCTTTGTGCTCCTGATTCCCCAATATCTCTCTCCAGTTTTGATTCCTATTTCTAAGATCCAGGCTCACATAAGTAACTACCTATTGGTCATCTCCACTTGAATCAACATAACAGAAATTTTAAAACCACCTTTCTTATGTACATATAAAACAGCTTTATTGGGATATAATTTACATGCCACACAATTCACCCTCCTAAAGTATACACATCAATGAACATTATTATATTCACAGAGTTAAGCAAATTCCACTAAAATCAATTTTAGAAATTTTCAACACCCTAAAAAACCATCTGCTCCTTAACAGTTACCCCTTAATTTCTTCTCAACCCTCTCAACCACAGGTAACTATTATTTTTCAGTATACATACATGTGCCTATTCTGGATATTTTACAAAAGGAATTATAGTTTGGGGTTAGCTTCTTATTCTAGGTGAAAGAATGTTCAAGGCACATACATTTTATCCCTGTTTATGGCTAAATATAATATGGTAAATATGCCACCTTTTATTTACCCATTTATAGGACATTTATGATATTTCTACCTTTATCAGTTAAAGGACATTTCCACATTTTGGCTATTATAAATAATGCTGCAATGGACATTCATGTACAAATTTTCAGGAGTATATATGTTTTCATATCTTTGGGGTATATACCTAAGAGTAAAATTGCTGGGCTATATCATAACCATGGGTTTAACTTTTTGAGCAATTGCTGGACAGTTTACCAAACCAACTGCACCATGTATATTCCCACCAACAGTGTATCAGGATTCCAATTTCTCCACATCCTCTCCTACATTTGTTATTTTCTATATTTTTATTACAGCCATCCTACTAAGTATGAAGTGGTATTACATTGTAGTTTTAATTTCTATTTCCTAAAGAACATATTTTCATGTGCTTATGTGACATCTTTGAAGACATGTCTATTCAAATCCTTTGCCTATATTTTTTTAATTTGGTTGCCACTCATTTTCTTTTCCTACAAAATCTGTTCCCATTATTACTCTGTTGAATGTTCTGGTTCAGCACCGCTTCCTTGGCCCCACTGATGGCACACTTGACCATGTGACTTGCTTTCACCAATAAAATGAAAGAAGGAATGTCAATTCCAACTGCAGCTTTAAAAGCTAGCTTTTGGGTTCACTGTTTCTCTTTTCTGTCTGCTATAAGCAATTTGTTTCAGAGAAATGCTCTTCTATTAGCATAGGTTCTAGAGTAAAAGATAACATGAAGCAGAACCACAGTTAATCCCCAATGGATTTGTAGCATTTGCTTTTATAAGCCATTCAGATGCTTGGGAACATTTATAACTGCAGCATCACCTAGCCTGTTCTATATGCTGTCTGACTGGCTCCACCTCCCCCAGGGTCCTGGACATGACCTACAAGGCCCCAAAGATCAGGCTTGTTGACCTCTACCTCCTCATTTCTTGGTCATTCCTTTAATCACCCCATATTCTGGACAAAATAAAATATATTTGAACCTTGGAATTTACTTTTTCTTCTCTCTCTCTCTCTCTCTCTCTCTCTCTCTCTCTCTCTCTCTCTCTGTCCTCCCATCCTGGACCTTTGCCTAAATTTTTCCTATTACTGAAATATAACAGACACCTTTGCCTGATCATTTTCTATGTGCAACACAATACACACAAAAAAATTAATTTTGTCTGACAACCACCCTGAGAATTCAGTAATGTGTCCTATTTTACAAATCAACAAAGGTCATAAATCAACACCCTTCTTTGACTCATTAAGCTATAGTAATAGCTAGAAATAGTTAAATACCACTGAAATAGTTAAATATCACTTACTATGTGGTCAGCATCATGTTAAAATATTTTTCAAGGATTATATTTAATGCATGTAAATAAATTGCATGCACTCCAAATGTAAACTAGAGATATCCCACAGCAGTTTAAGATTCTGAATTTGGAGTCAGATAATGTAATTGTGTTATCCTCAGCTAATTACTAAACCCCTCCAAACACTATTGTCCTCATCTGTAAAATCTAGCAATAAGATGTACTTCAAGACCAGGTGTGGTGGTACATGACTGTAATCCCAGTGACTCCAATGACTCAGGAGGCTGAGGCAGGAGGCTTGCAAGTTCAAAGACAGCACTCAGCAATTTAGTAAGACCCCATCTCAAGACCCCATCTCAAAATTTGAAAAGATAAAAAGAACTGGGGATGTGGCTAAGTGGTTTAGCACCCTTGGATTCAATACCCAGTACAAAAAAAAAAAAGATATATTTCAAAGGTGTTTTGGGTTTGTTTTGTTTTATGTGTGTGTGTGTGTGTGTGTGTGTGTGTGTGTGTGTGTGTACTGGGGATTGAACCCAGGAGCACTCAACCCCTGAGCCACATCCCCAGCTTGTTTTGTTTTTCCTTTTGTAGCAGGTTCTTTCTAAATTGTTTAGGGCTTTGCTGAATTGCTGAAGCTGGCTTTGAACTCCCAGTCCTCCTGCCTCAGCCTCCTGAGCAACAGGGATTAGGCATGCTCCAATACACCCAGCTTCAAAGGGTTTTTGAGTATTACCTGAATCAATTTTTAGAAAGCACTTTGAACAGTTTAGTATATGGAAAGTTCTCAGATTCTACCAGCCACTATGTTTATGTTCTCATCTAACCTTACAACACACATGAATTAGTAACTACTATGTACATTGGCCCTTTGTTTCAACTGTCCTGTCCTTTCTCACCTCTTGACTTCTAATACGTTAATCCTTTCAGAATGCCACTGCTCCTTTTTGCCACTGGACAAATTCCCTCCTACCTCTAGAACTTGCCTCAGTCCTTCCTACTCTCTCTCAGAAGACCTGTTTATTCTCTTTCCTGGACTGTATACCAACTCCTATAGTTAAACCCCTTTGAAAGTAAAGAACTCACTTAAGTGATCCAGGAACTAAAATACAGATTCCTGCAGAACCAGCCACTCTACCTGTCTCAGGAGGATCCCTGGACTTCTCTGGTTCCTTCTGCTTTCATTCTGTTCTATCCCAGCCACCTGCTCCCTCTGTCCACTCACAGAATCTTCTCTCTAGTTTTGCTGTCATGGCCATCAGGGGTTCCTTTTTCCATCAGTTCTGATTGAACTACACTGTACAATAAAACAGCCACTGAACACATGTGACCATTTAAATTTAAATGAATTACTTAAAATCCTCAGCCAAGT